CGGCGATTAGGTAATATTTGCTTTTACAGTAAAGTAGTTAAATGCCATGGGAACTTGACGAATAATAAACGAATACGATTTTTATTTACTCAACATTCACACGATTCAAAGCGTTGGGCAAACAGCCAAAATTTTTTGGGTATGTGGATAAACAGTTCTCAACGATTCTGTTTGTACAATCTAATGGCAAATATTCACTTCACAGCTGTCAATAGAATCTAATTTTGGTGTTCATTGTGTGTGTGTGTGTGTAAGTATGGGTGAGGGGACATGCACACTTTTCTTTTGGCCCGAGTTCTGGCCATAATTGGCTGCCAAACTGGGGCCGGCCAGCAGAGGGACCGAAACGTGCTGCCATGTTTCCATAAAGTTTTATCTCCTACCTGTTTACCTGCTGTATCACGGGACCTACTCTATGTGCTTTAGCTGCAACTTTTTATAAGAATTCAGATGGGGTGTCGGTAGTTGTGTCGGTAAAAGATTGTACAACTTGTCCAACTGCCGTGAGGCTTGATTGACAAAGTTAGTCAAGTTAAACTCCAATTTAAATTTCATAATCGATGAGAATAATATTTATTGTTATTTATTTAAATGCGAGTTTTCCAAAGCTACTCAATATGATTAATATCGAAAAATATCGTTAAAGTGATTCGCGAATATTAACATCTAAAATTAGAATGCATTTTCGGCCACCTGTTTTACTAATAATTTTTTTTTATATTCATGGATGATTGTTCATATTAAAATGTCTATGATTTGAGGTCTACAAAGACACAATGAATATACTCCCACATAATTTTTTTCTGTTATCTTGCCTTAGAGGGTATTTCCTCTTCAACAAATCTCAATCTAAGCCACTCTCACTTGTTTGCTTTCAATTTGTACACAAATTGGACACAAAACAAAGAACTGTTATAGTCGGGCGTTATCGACTGCATAACACTCATTCCCAGCCCCAAAGCTGCCAGATCCACCAAATCTAATTTATTTTGGATTCTAAGCCCGAAAATATATTCCAAATTTCCGGTAGCTTCAATAGTGTCGTCATATTGACAGACGGACTGATGGACTAACATTGCAAGAAACCAATATACCGATTCAACTTTCGAGAATGAGTATAAAAAGTTCTGGCTCGTTGCGTACACGCCACATTGCACGCTGTTGCGCCGTGTACGGACATACTCCATCCGAGTTGTCATACTTTTAGTTATTTTCTTTTGGCCAAGTTGTGCGTGCCATGTTATTATGATTCTTATTAAGTATTTATTGTAATGTTTTGATGTTGATATTATTTCACTCATATTTCAATAAGTTTGCCGTTAGTCATTCTCCGTTCCGTATTCATACCCCGGCGGCATTTCGTTTCCGTCAGCAGCAATAACCTTGCCATAGCTGCAGCCGCAGTTCAGCCCTGGCCTTAGCCTTTAAGCTTGGTTGAGCCACAGTGCTCGTCCTCGTCCTCGTCTCGTTACGTCTGGCTAGTATCCTTGAAATATGGTCGGAGGCCTGCAATTGTCCTTGCAGCTCGGCAAAAGTCTTTTGTTTTTCCGTATTGAGTGCGGCTTGGCCACACAGTTGCAACTATTCCTAGATCTCTAAAGTGAACAATGCAATTGAAAAGAACACCGAAAGGCGATGGTCTGAAGTGCCCGCCGAAAGATACCCTGTATACGATAACCATTGTATGAGAAAGATTTTTCTTGAGTCATATTTATGTTTCTAATTATATTCTTATTAAAGTTATTAATTATATATTATTAATATTATTTATATATTATTAATTCAAATTGTATAATTATAAAGGGAGTTTAGCTTAAAGAAACTCAAAGTTGAGTTCTTTACATCCAATTGTATTTAGTAAACCTCTTTGTATTTTGAACTGTAATCGAATGGCACCATCCCTTCCTCATCGATACCCATTTCTTACAGGGTATTTGCATTTTAATACCGTTGCATACTTTGTTGCGCTGTTTGTGAATCGCTGTCGCTTGGTCTCAGTCTCAGTGGCTTATTGTGCTCGATATTTCTCGCTTACTGCTCCATCAACTAGCGTCCCGAGCTCTGCAGATTCTATTGGAATATATATTGGCCGTCCCCAAATGCATTTGCATGCTGATTGCTTTTGCTTCTGCCCCCTGGCTGGGCCGCCGGGATATGCAATAACTTTGATCCTGTTGCAGCGACACATAAAACTTTCGCCCAAACTCTCGAAGTAAACAAGTTGCCAACTGAATTGCTTTTGACCTACGCACTCTCTCTCTCTCTATCTCTCTCTCTCCCAACGTGACAATGCCCCAGCGCTAAAAGCGTGCAAATGTTGCGCAATTTGTTAGCCGTAAAGCCGGCTAACTATTGAATAACAACAACTGCCAAGTTCATGGAATTGGATTACGGGTTCTGTGTGCAGTTTCAAAAGAGTTTGAGGGGCTGCTAAAAGATGTAAGGAGTGGTTTCCTAGGCAGCACCCTCCACATAACTGCTAACGTGTTGCTTATGTGGAGCACCGTGTTGCATAAAGCGAAAAATATCTGTGCACCGTCAGCACTCTGCTACGCGACTGCATTTCGCTTATGAATGCAAACTATTATATGAGCAAGGATTTGTATTTCCGGCAAAAAACAGCAGTATTTACAGGTGGTAGATTTAATGGAATAGAACGGAAGCCAAGTACTACTTTAAGATTATTTTGTTTGCTTTATTTACTCTTACTCATTCTATGTTATGCAACGAGCTACATTTCGACAGTCACTACTATTTCTCACTCAGTGCAGCTGTTACTATTTGTACTATTTAATGTTTTCTTTCACCTCTAAATCTATCTTATCTTACCTCTATTATTACAATAATTTTAATAATATACTTAAAGTTTAGCTTCAATAAGCTTTAGCTATTTCTATAGCTATTTTAGAGCCAAAAGATGACAATTATTAGGAGGACTACTATTTCTTTTATAACGAACTTTAATTCTAACTCTATTATTTCTCCTACTACTGTAATACTGCATTCCCTCTCTTCAACTATTATTACTACAGCTTTATTATTAACACTCCTGCGACTATTATATAATTACTACTAGTAATACTGCGATTTTTCTGCAGCTACTAGTATTTAGCTACTACACTCTACTTCTAATACTTCTACTATACTTTTACTGCTATCATAACTACTACTATTACTTCTACTATTATTATTACTATTATTATTATTATATTATTATGATTATTTTTATTACGATTAAAACTATTACTACTTTTCTTTACTACTTTTCTGTACTACTACTTTACTCTTACTGCCACTATTACAATTTCTACTATGTATTTCTGCTTCTGTACCAATTAATAATACTATTATTAATACGACGACTATTACTACTACTCTACTTTGACCACTCCTGCTACTACTCTGCTTTTTCGGCAGCTATAGCTTTTACCTATACCATTATTGCTACTCTAGTTTTAGTTACATTACTTCTACTTTTACTACTATATATATCTATAATTCCTACTATTTCTACAACTGTTCTACTTTTACAGATTTAAATCTACTATTACCACTACTGCTGCTGCTGTCATAACTTTAACTACTATTGCTGACACTGCTGCATTACTTCTTCTTGTATAGTAGAGTAGTGACTACTAATTGTTTTTACTATTGACAGTAATATGCCTTTTTATATTCTTACTTATGGAGTAGTATGAGTAGTATAATGGTAGTATAACGAGTTTCAATACTTGTACGGCAACAGCTCCCAATGCTCTTCATACTTATCTACTGTAATTAGAAATTACCAATAATGCTTTTATATATCTACTGCTACTTCTGCCAACCGCATCTTCTATCGACTATCTATCAACTCTTATCAGATACGACATGCCTCAATCAGTTTAACGGGAATGTTAATGAGCAACAATCCGGTTTGCCTGCAGGATATGTGCAGCCATCAATACCCGATAACGTACACTGACGAGAAATTCATGTGTTGCGCATCTCTTTTGGTTGCCATAGGATCCTTTCAATTTGCACACACGCACACATACGCAAAAGAGAGCTTAACAGCATTGTCCTGGGCAGAAGTAGAGACAAAACCTAATCAGATTGTTGGCTGCATTGTTGGGAGTCAGCGCCTGGGCTTGGCCCATAAATTACTTTCGGTTTCTGTTGCTGCCTCGGCATCGGCATCGGCATCGGGTCTTTGGCAGGAAATACACCTTTTAACTAAGCTGCAAACCGGACCCAAAAGCCGCCAGACTGCGACTGCGACTGCGAGTGCCCTGCCAGCAGCAAGGAGCAGTTCGCAATAAATCACGAAAATTGTCGCAGCCTGTTGTTTGTTATTGCTCTTGTTGTTGTTGTAGTTGTGGCTGCTGCTGTTTGCAGTTTGCTGGGAGATTTTTCATTTTATGGCAACTGGCATTGTTGTGACACTCGTTTGTTGGCGCTGTTACTGTTGCTGTTGCTGCTGTTGCTGTTTCGCTTCTGGGCAACGTCCTCCGCAAATCCTGTCATGCAAATTATGTTGAGCCTTTTGTCCAAATGCAATGGCCTGGCACATATTTTCTTTTATATTGTGCAGCCCGCTACGCATTATTATATTATTTATGTTTATTTACAGACACCCGCGCTCGTTCGTGCTTACTGAATATAAAAAATAAATACAGCTTGCGCAAAAAATGTAGAATAAAATAAAATAAACTCAGAGAAATAAATATATTTGCTGCCTTGTTTGTTCAGTCTGAAATGGCAAATGAAGTGTGCTTAATCAGTGCTTAAATATTAAAAATTACATTCAACAAGCTTTCTTATGACAGCAAATATTGTTCTACGAATTTGCGTGGCTAGAGAAACAATTTACTCAAAGCTTGTTCCTTGTATTATTTCACTCAAATATTCAAGTATTACAACTGAGCTTACCTTTTGACTGCAGCTAAGACTCAATCAATCTCGTAGCACAGCAAATTGAGTTATACTTATACAATTTTGTTTCTTCTTTGCATTTACAGAACTTTCTTGGGGAGGAGCTTCACAGGCAGGAGGCGGAATCGGAATCGGCAGCAAATTGAAATTGTAAGTGAAACGTTTTTATAAATCTACATTAAATTGTGCGCTGTTGCCAGCAACGACTCAGTGGCAAAGTGCGTGTGAAATGACTTCTAGCGCTTTTTGGCGCAGCGTCAACGGAGCGTATGATTGATATGCGAAGCGTAATCGCGCGCGTGCGAATCCTGTGGCTGGCTGCAAATTTAATTTGATGCCACGGTGTTAAATAGCGCATAACTAGCCATGAAATGTGACACGTTCCCACCCAAGCCCAGCGCCCAGCCGCCCCAACAATCCAGATACCTGACTTGAATCGCAGCTCCTGCAAAGCATTTCAAATTGCAAAATTCGTGAAGTGTGGGCGAAGGCTTATGGACTTGTCAGAGCTTTAATTAAGTCAAGTTGAATTGTATTCATTCTGCTGAGCCGTCGAAGGAGTTGAGCTCAAGGAAAAGGCATCTAGATTATGCCACAAAACTGAGCTAATGAAATTTTGTGACAGCGGAAAATTCTTTAAATATTATCTGCATATTTAGAAACTGGAAATATGCGGGGAAAATAGAATCTTCAATTTATTCTGAAATAAATTCCTTATTCTTTCTGAATTGCGATTACCAATATTTTTACAACCGATTTTCGTATTTATAAAGTATCAAAAACCATAATATATGATTACAAATTATATATAAAAATCGTTGTAAAATATTTATGAATCATAAAATAAAACGAAATTCGTCATTCATGCAGTTTCTGCCTGGCACGAGTCCATTTAAAAATTCTTGCAAAATAGGTTTTTATCCTCTTCAATAAGGACATACGTTTTTGTCGCTTTCTACACCTTTGCCGTTCCCTCATTCTCTCAATGCACACACATCTAGCGGCATGTGAATGCAGTTTTAATTACAAGGCCCACGTCCAAATGTTTTGTCAAACAAAAGTTCTGCATTAAACCAAACACGTACAATGCGCCGAGGTTCTACAATGGCTTATATAAGTGTCTATTGATAAGCTGGACAGCACAGAGGGTGTGGTACATAAAGAGAAAGGAGAGAGGAAGAGAGAGAGAGAGAGTGTGTGTGTGTGTGTGTGAGAGTTACAAGGACAAAGTTTCTGTGGCTTTTGAGTTTGCACATGCTTGGAGTGCCTGTGGCTCGGCCAGGTTTAAGGGCACAGCATTGCTGATGGCAATTGTTATGAGAGGGCTTAATTAAGTCTATGAGCAGTGAAATTGCACAATTCTACAATGCGAATTCAGAGATTATTGGAAGCAAGCCCAGCTCAGTCTGGGCACAAAATAGGATTAGCAGAGAGCAATAAAAATGAATTTTGTTTGAAAAAGAAAAAAAAAACTGAGTAAAACTTGCTGCGCTTTTGCTCGGACACGAGTGAAAATATTCAGTCTTAAATTTCTCTTTATGTACATATTCTGTGTTATCTAAAAATGAATTCTTCCATACTTTGAGCTAATTCAATATTTACCTAATTCCCTAGTGAACGATAAGCGCTTATTCACATGCTCTGCGCTCCATTGTATCCTGTTTTGTTTCACATCTGCTGCGAGCTAACAACAATATTTTGTTTAATGCAACTGCGTCGTGCAGTGCCTTGGCTGCTGCACCATGTAGAACACATCACGCATACGCCCCGTTGAGCGCAAGTGAACTTCTAATTCGGTTATGTCGCTCGAGGAGCGTAAGGGGCGTGGCTGCATAGACGTAGACACGTGCCAAATGCTACAGCTACACTCTTTGACGTGTGTGTGTGTCACTGTGTGTGTGAGCTAGTGCAAACGTCGATTGGCAAAGCGAATGAATTATGCAAGTTGCAAGCACTCGAGATGCGGCGTGTGGCGTGTGGCGTGTGGCATCTGGCTCAAATCGAATTTATGCGCAGGAAACGTTTTCATTTTGGGTTCAAAGCGTTGCCTCGACTTTCAATTCAAGTGCCACATCTACGACTCGAGCTGCAGCTCAGAGAACTTCCACGCGCGCGCTTGCCTCGCGGGCTATCTCTAATTGTGAAAGGCCGTTGTCGGCCTAAATATTTAATATCTAGCCCCACTCGGCCGACTTCCCCCTGAAATGCTGGCCCGGAGGTCCTGTCAAATGGCCACGGGCTGATAAAATGGCGGCCGTGCCAACTCATTTGACGCCCGACCGGGCAAAACGTGGCCCATTTCCGCAAATGTCTTTTTGCCAAGCCGAGCGAAACGTGAGAAATAAATTTTAAATGCAAAGGCGCACAGCGCCCGCGCGCTTGTATAGAACCTTAAGCGGGGTGTGAGATACCCTGTAACCGAGCACTAAAAGCAAATGAGAAGAGAGCTGCAATATAAAGTAGACACGCTATGGGAACTTTTTGAAAATGCGCTATAAAAGTGAAGTAGAAAAACGTATATCACATCCACTGGTAAAAATTAAATTTATATATAATAACTATAATAATTTAATTAATGGAAAACCGACTCTAAAATATATAAATATTTTATTAATTTCATTTTAAATTTTAATGAACGAAATTTTAAATTTGATAGAAATATTTATATCTATTAATTATTATAAAATAATTATAATAAAAATTAAAATTAATAAATTTTATATGCATATATTTATTATAACTCTTATTATTATTATTATTATTCAATTTAATTAATCTAATTTTTTAAATTTTATCTTTATAATATATATATTTCTTTAAGTATATCTCATTAAATTTTAAAGAAATTCATAGTTAAATTGAATATACTTTATAATAAATTTAAAATTCGGATTTATGATGCATGTTCAATCTTACGATTTAAGCACTCAAAGTAAGTCCAAGCACATATTTATTCCATATACAAATGAAGAGCCATAGTATATAGAACTAGAACGCTTTATGAATAAAAGTTCAATTGATCAAGAGAATATCATATGAAAGAATATGTCTTATATGACTCTTTTATACATTCTCTTCCCATCTTCACCACGAGTACAGGGTATTTTCATAGTTGCGCTTTGTAGTTGACACAATTATAACTTGTTGAATTTGCGTGAGCTGCGTTCAAGGTAAAACATACGAAGGACATGGACATTGAAACATGAGGCGCCACCTACCTAAAGACTGCATAAAAATCCATGACAAAATGTTACAGATTGGCCAGCGCCGTGGCTGAAACTGAAGCAGCACGGACATAAAGCGGGCCAGAGTCGTGGTCGTAGTCATGGCCGTAACCGTAGCCGTAGTCGCAGCTGGAGACGGAGACTTAGCCAGAGCCGAGCTAGAGCCGGACGAGGCTGTTAAACGAGCCCCGGGCAAAGCTCGCTAAGAGAGCGAGCCAGCTATAAAAGAGATGAAGATAGAGAGTGAGCATGCTTGTTGTCCACAGAGAGAGATAGAGAGAGGGAGAGAGAGAAAGAGAGAAATGCATAGCGAGGCACGCCTGCATATTTAATCCTGTTGATTTTTATTTGCTGCTGTTACAACAACAACAAAAGCAGCAGAAACATCTACAGCTACAGCTACACGTTGTACTATTTTTATGGCTTTTTATCTACCTGATGATTTTACATGCTCTTTGTTGGCAAACAGCAGTTCAGCCCTGCCTCCATCTCAGGCTGTCCCCTGCTTAGAGCTCTCGCCGTGGCAGCAGCTGTAGAGTTTTACATGTTTTGTTGTGGTGCGAAGGTCGTACCGCTGCCGAGCTATCTGATTACCATGAGTATCAGCTCGCTAAAACGTACGATAAAGGTGTGGAAGTAGTTGAATTTCACACCTAAATGTTGAGTAATAAAAGATAAATAATCAGAGGCAAATGTGAAAGAAAGAGAGAATATTAATATAGCTCAATGTGAGAAAGGATGATATGTGCATATATTTCAGTATTCCTTTTAAAGTTAAAAAAAAAAGTAAAAATTACTTAGCTAAGTTTTTCCTAGAAGAAAGCAAATTGTTTAATCCTTAGATATCTTTAGATATTATATTTAACTCCGTTAGAATTTCATACTCATTTCTTAGTTAACTTCAGGCATGCCGTTCGTTACTAGAGTTTCCACTGTACATATGTTGACTTGTGTGTCGCAGTTGCCAATGCAAATGATTCTGGGCATTCTCATCCCCCCCCCCACAGCGTCAGCCGAATCGTCTAAATAACTTCAAAAGCTATCTACGATGTTTTTATATTTGCATTATTTTCTCGAAGGATATAAAAGTGAAAAACAGACAGCGAGCGACACAAAAAACAAATGCAACCCCTGCGACAGGTTGACATTTGCATCTGGCCAATGCCCAAGTTAAGTCGAAGGTTAAAGGCTTACCTGTTCATTGAGAGTTGATTTCTATACATATACGATATTATTTTAAACCTAATTGGAGAACACTATAAACTGAAGCAGTTCATGAATAATTAAATTAGATTGATAAGTAAAATTTTGAATATAGAATATAGAATAGAAACACCATTATATAGTACTAAAATTGTATTGTATCAATTTGAATTACTCTCAGTTGACACTTTCTATAGTTTATTTCGACGTAGTTATTTTGATCAACATTCATCTACTTAGCTAACAGAACATGTAAAATAAATAAATTCATATTGGGATGACATCAGAATATATCCGAAACGGTCGTTGAGCGGCGCAAGGTCGAGTAGGGGAGTAATAAAGTAAAACAAATAAACAAATAAATTAAATTCATAAACAAATGTGGCAACATTCACACAATTTTAATTCCAATGCCGCAATAAAGCAAACCTATGCTAAATAAATCAACTTCCCCCTGCCCGGAGCAACCATCAAATGGAGCTTTCGAAACTGGAACAGCAATTTGAGTGAGGGCTCATTAAAAATCAAATACCGTAAGCACAGACAACAATTCAACCAAACAGAAGCGTGGGAATTGTTAGGAGAGAGCAGGAAATGTTTAGAGTGCTGGGCAGGAGGCGCCGAATTGTTGACCAGAATGTGGACGGCCACTCAACCAGCTAAGCGCATCAAATCGACGCGTGTGGAGTGCGCCAAACGGGCCATCAATCAAACAATCAATCA